CCCGTGTGTGTATTTGGGTTTGGGGGGGGCCGTGGCCGTGGCCGTGTGTGTCTTGGCCGAGTCTGGCGGGAGCTGCGATTTGTTGGACTTTGCCTGGGGTAGGTCAATGCTGTACGGCCGCGGTATATGGCCGTTGTTAAACAACCGAATTGTGATAAAATGTCAGAGGAATTAACCTCCCCTTCAGCTTCCCATACCAGACATACATACACACGTACACACACACACACGAACTCCCCCCACCCCGACCCCCAGGTCTCCAAGACCGCCCCCACTGGGGAGTACCTGACCACGGGCTCCTTCATGATCCGCGGGAAGAAGAACTTCCTGCCCCCGCAGCCCCTGGTCATGGGCTTCGGTTTCCTATTCAAGTACGGCTGGAAGTTAGTTAGTTAGTTATACGTGCGTTGGAGTTTTCCTTTCTTCTATGCCTGTGGGGAATTTTATAACTGTTCCTTTGCCAACGAATAAACCAATAGCCAGATAACTCCCAACTGTCAACCCACCGGCAACGAACAACTAACTACTAACCACCACAAATATATAACAGGCTAGACGACAGTAGCATTCCCGCGCATTTGGGGGAGCGAGCGGTGCGTGGGTTGGACCCGGACGGGATGTCGGTGCTCGGCGGCGGCAGCGCGGTGCCGTACAGCGGCGGCGCCGGCGGCCGGGCCGGGGCGGCGGTGGCCGCGGCGGGTTCGGAACTTGCTGAGCAAGGTGGGTACGTCAGGTTTTTTTTCTTTGGTGGCTTCCCTTTGGCAGCAGCTGTAATAGTAGCAGAGGCAGTAGCAGCAGGATGGGGTCTTTAGGGGGGGTGTACGGTTGATAGGAGGGGCGGGCACGCCAAATGGGTTCCGGAGCGGGGGTGAGGTCGGTTGGTCGGTTGGTTGGTTAGTTGGTTTGTTCGTGTGGGAGGGCCGTAGGGGGCAGTAAGAGAAACCCTCCCCCTGGCCCGGGATGGGGACTGTGTATCGATTATTGTGTCGTACACTAGGCTACCGTCATATCCGTCACACTTCCGTCGTACCACTCTCGTCCGTGCCGAAGTGCAAAAAGTGGGGCGCCCTCCTTGCTTTGACGGCGCCCCTCAGTCGCCTCCGTGACTGCAGTCCAGGGGGGGAATGACCGTTGCTCTGGGCTCATATGGTAACTAACTCACTGCTGGAGTGTCGGTTGTCGGTTGACGACCGTTTGCTTCTTGCGTCATATGATCTGGCCCCCCTGGACTGGACTGCAGTCGAAATTCCTGACGACGACAATGCCGGCGGCGAGCCGAGTGAGGATGACGGCGGCGATGGCGGCGGCGGCGGCGGCGGAAGGGGCGGCGGGGGTCTTACGGAGCAAGCGCTGGCGTCGTCGTCGGGCCGCCGGCAAGCTGCCGCCGCCACCGCCGCTGTGGCGCCGTCACCCTTGGACCGCTTCCTTGAAGGATCGTACGACGTGCCGTACGGCTCAGCGGCACTTTCGGCTGCAGCGGCAGCTGCGTTTGAGCGGTACGGCCTCAGTCAGGGCGGCGACGGGGAGGAGGACGAGGTGTCAGCGGCAGCGGCAGCGTGGGGGGCAAGTGGCTTGGGTCGCGGCGGCGGCGGCGGCGGCGGCGGCGGCGGCGGCCGCCGTCACCTGAGTGCAAAGGAGCGTGCGCTGTCCAAAAAAAAGGCTGGCGGCACCGCCGGCGCTGCTGTAGCCGGCAGCGGCGGTGGCGGCGCCGCCGCGGAGGATGAGGAGTATACTATCGTCGCATCTGACGCTCCGCCGCCATCGGCCGCGGGGCCATCTGCAGGGCTGGCCAAAGGTACGACAATGGGTAGCGGCGGTGGTGGCGGTGGCGGTGGTGCTGCCGCTGCAAAAGGAGCTGGCGGCAAAGGTGTAGTTGCGGGTGCAGCAGGTGGCGGTCGGGGTCCCAGCGGGGCGGTATGGGGCGGCGGCGGCGGCGGCGGCGGCAAAGCGGTACAGCTGCAGGACAATACGAAGGGCGGCGGCGGGCTTGCCGGCGGCAGAGGTGCAGCGGCTGCTGGTGGCGGTGGCGCCAATAAAAGCGGTGGCAGCGGCAAGAAGGCCGCAGCGGCAGCGGTGGCGGCCCCGCCACCACCCTGTCAGCGCGGCAAGAAGGGCAAGCAAGCTAAGTTCAAGGATAAATACGCAGACCAGGTAATGTACGGCCCGTCGTGTACGGGAACGCAGGGGAGAGGCAGGGGAGACACAAACGCAAATACACACACACCAAACACACACACGCACACACACACACAAAACACACACACGTTTCCCGGCGTCACATTTCATCCATCCATGTGTGATCCTTCCCCACCCCCTCTCCCCCACTTCGTCACTTCGTCATCCCGAGGTCACAGTCGTCACAGTCGCCACGGACGCCTTTCGGTCAGTTTTTACGTTTGTTACCCTCTTGCCCTGGCAGCAGCTTCAATCGTGTGTGGTTCGTCTTTCCCCCCCTCCCCCACTACTTGCTCCTCCTAGGACGAGGAAGAGCGCGCCTTGGCTCTGGCAGTGCTGGGCAGTGCGGGTGAGAAGAAGTCCCGGGCAGATCGGCGCAAGGAGCGGAAGGAGCGCAAGGAGGCGTCACGGCAGGAGGGTCGCGGAATGCTGGTGGGAGATGAGGATGCCAGGCGGCAGGTGCGGTTGTTGGTTAGTTGGTAGTTTCAGTTAGGTCGTTGAGGGCGTCTCAGCGCTCTGAGTCAGCTCATTTTCCTTTCGAGGTCTTTCGATGGGGGGAGGGGCCCGCGTGTTGAGATAAGGCTTTTGGCTTTTGAGGTTTTCCTTCTTTTCCTTTTCTTTTCGCGGCTGCTGATCTTTTCCGTTCCTGAATCCTAATCCTTTCCTGTTTAGGCGCTCCTCCTGTTTTAGGGCTTTTTTTGTTTGTTTTAGCTAGTTTTAATTTTCTAATTGTAAACTAGTTTTCCTTATGTAAAAGGTTCAAATGGGTGATTGTGTTCTTTTTTTAATCTGTTTTGTTAGTTCTGTGGGTCACACGGTCGCGTCGTCTCCCCGGCATCGTGTCGTACAGGCAATCGAGAGAGCAACTGGAAAGCAGTTTGTACGGCAGGAAGATGGAGGTGGAGTTGGCGATGGCAGTGAAGATGAGGAGGAGGAGGAGGAGGAGGAGGGATTGGTTGAGGGCGAAGGGGGTGAGGCGGCAGCGGCAGCGGTGGGAGTGGTAGCGGAAGCGGAGGAGGAAGATGATGGGGGCACTGGGACAGGCGGCGATGGCGGCGACGGTGGCGATGGCGGCGGCGACGGCGGCAAAGAGGACGCTGACGGAGGCGCCGATGGGGCCGACGGCACGACGGGTGCGTGACGGCTGTTGCTGCTTGTTTGTGCTCCTGTGCGTGTATGTATGTATGTATCTACGTGCAAATCTACGTACTCCGTCATTACGAAACGACGAGCTGACTCAGATGAGTGTCCAAGAATTCCAACTTAAAACGGTAAACGAACAGCAGCAGCAGGGACGGAAAGGGCACCAGGCATGCTTTTATTCGCCGGGGACTGTGCCGTACAAGCAAAGCAGGCGCGACGTTCGGTTGCCCGTGCGATCCGCCAGTGGTTTCTCTTCCCCCGTCTCCCGGTTTCTTTAATTAAAAAAGACCAACTGGCATTGATTGATTTACTGCTATACCACCTAAACACTAACCTCCCAAATCATCACAGCGATTCCATCCATTCACTCTTTTTAACCAACTCTTCCTCTTCCTCGCCGCCTCCGGTCCGGCGAAGCAAAGCACTTCATGGCATTATAATAGTGGTTTCACGAGGTCCTTTGAATGAATGAAAAGCTCCTATCGCTCCCAGGTGTTTTGGGGGGGGTTCCATTCTTTGTTCTGGTTTGTCTGTTTGTCGGTCTGTTTGTTTGTCGTACTCCCAGAGGCCGAGCGCGCGGAGATCGCGGCGCTGCTGGCTGAAGAGAACGTGGAGGCGCCGCTGGCGGACGAGGACGCCGCGCGGCTGAGTGTGCTGGATAGCTTGACGGGAATACCCCGACCCGAGGATGTACTGCTGTTTGCCGTACCCGTGTGCGGGCCGTACAACGCGATCCAGTCGTACAAGTACAAGGTCAAGGTCACGCCAGGTAGGTTGGGTACGACAATGTGTAAATTCTATGAGGGGTGTTATTCTATGGGTGGGTTCAAAAAGGCCTTAAATTTAAATTTAGTTGTCCTGGGCGTTTCCCCCCTCCTCCTCCCCTCTCGCCCTATCCCCGCCTTCGCCCTCCTCTTCCCCCCCCCCCTTGTCCACTCCTCCTCAATGTTCCCCCTCCCTCCCAAACTCCATCTTGCTCCTCACTATTCACTATTCACTATTCACCAATCACTCTTTCTCCTCCCCAGGTACTGTGAAGAAGGGCAAAGCTGCCCGTCAAGCCTTGGAGCTACTGACCCGTGGGTCAGAGGTCCCCCCCCGGGAGCGGGAGGTGCTGCGCGCCCTTCCGGAGATGGAGGCCATCACCGCGCTTGTGGGCCCCGGAGTGAAGCTCAGCATGCCGGGGCTGCAGAAGCTCAAGATGGATGAAAAGAAAACCAGGAAGGTCCAGGCGCAGGCGAGGGTGGCGGCCGCGGGGGTTCCACCACCAGACCGCCAGCAGAGAGGGGGGCAGGAGGCAGGAGGGGGGGGTGGAGATGCTGCTTGAGGAATCAGGTAACGAAGTAACGACGCAGTTTAGCTTGGTGATGCGCGGGTGGATGTTCTTTAAGTACGGCAGGTTTTGGAGTTGTTAGATGGTGCGGTTACATGGTGCGGTCCCTTTCTCTTTGGGTTTTCACTTTCCGGACGGTAAGGGACGGGGAGAGGTAGTTTCTGAGCAGGTGGCTGAGCGGCGTCTTGTGGTTTTAACCAAGGAGTGACAAACCGTCGTACATAAAGCACCCACGGACTGTTACTGCTGCGGCCACTACTGGTGTAAATGTAAGATTTTTAATTCTCAGGGAAGGCTTTTTTAATTCGAAAGTTTATTTACATGTCAATTCAGGATTGGCCGGGAAATGCCGTACATTAAGAGTGGTACGGACCGCTTGTCAGACCTGCCTGATATGGGTTTCCTAATAAGAGCCCTGCAGGTCCGTAATCTGGTAATGCAAAGACATGAAATCGTGAAAAGTCAACAAATATGCTCTGTTAAGACATTCATAGCCAAAGAAGCTAAAAGGCACCTGGACTTGGTCGCACACTGGCCATCAATTTCCGTGATCGACTGTTGGACGTCTTTACCCTTGAGGACGCTTTGGCCGATTGGCAAATCACTTGATTCATAACGAACCCAGGTTTTGGATCGATACCGCCTTTTGCGAACCACGACCTTACGCTGTGTTAAGGTCGTACAAACGTGTTTGCCTCATTAGGGCTTCCATTCATTCTCATGTTATTCATTCAATGTCACATCATGCCGGTAGGACGGTCTTCTGCGGGCAGTATGCCAGGAAGGTGGTGTGACAGAACGGTGCATGCAGGTGGTCGGATCCGTGGATCCGTCATTCCGGGGCCCGCGCTCATGCCCCTCCCCCTCGGACGTGCGGACACGCCAGCGAATTCCCATGGGAATGGGAGACGCCGCGAGTTGTGTGTGTGTGTGTGTGTGTGTGTGTCTGTGTGTGTGTGTCTGTGTGTGTGTCTGTGTGTGTGTCTGTGTGTGTGTCTGTGTGTGTGTCTGTGTGTGTGTCTGTGTGTGTCTCTGTGTGTGTGTCTCGGGGCATTCTTGTCCCAGGGGCCGTTACTCCTCTTCACCGATCTCTTCACTAACGCGAAGATCTGAAGGCAACTTGACAACGGGTTACAGTAAAGTGTACATCCTTGAACTACTACTTACCATACGACATCCCAATCTTATGGTGATGATGATGATGATGATAATGGATAACAGTTACAGTTACAGTGTCCGGAGGGTTCCGTCAAGGGGGGGGGGACCCCCTGGTGTTGTGGCATACATACTTGCATGTTTACCTTATTCGGACTTTCCTACGGCTCAGGCACTTCACCGCCCAGTGGCATTATTATCATCTTCGCTCTTATTAGGTTAACCATTGGGCACTTGTCTATCGTTTATCACGAGTGAATCTTTTTCTGGGTTACGATTGCACCGATCGGTGACTCCTTGCGATGGCAACTCTATTTCCGGGTCGTACAGATTGCTGTACAAGTCGTCATGGTCGGCATGGAGGCATTTAACCTCCCTTCATTCACTAATCGGTAGTTTTCGCTACCACCTAAACAGTGGAAGTGGATACAACACATGGACCGTTCGTGAATGAAGGTAATGTTATGTTTGTATGTATGTACAGTTTCAGTGCGAATATCGTCGGACCGCTCCCGCTCCCGTTGTGTGAAGCGCGCCGGCGCGCAGAGGCAAGAAGAAGAAGAAGAAGAAGAAGCAGAGACGCATCTCTCACAACACAGAGGCAGCGCAACGTCAGCGCACTGCTACGCACTATATACTATTTTAGTTACCGAGCAAACAACAACACGGCAAACTGCTTAAAAAAGTCGGTTTTTAAGGGGCCTATGGCGGTTCCGGAGATCTCAAAACAGACAACCTTTTCACACCAAAAAAACAGCAGCAGCAGTAGCAGCAGTAGCTATCTGCACCTGCGGTACAACAACGTAAACGACCTTTAAAACGTTATCACGTTTTTCAACGAACTCAGCAGCAAGTGCCTCTAAATTGGGAGAATCTATGTCTCAGAAAGCATCAGAAGAGAAGCACGTCAACTCCCATTTGCCGCAGCGCCTCGCACACCAGTACGCTGTCTCGCTGGAAATCCGCCACCACCATCCGGAGGTACGGCAATGTCGCCAGCTCAGCGGGAAGAGCACATGGACCGCTGGGTCGCAGCCCCTCCACCGCCCCGCCCCTTCCTCCTCCTCCTCCTCTTCCTCCTCGGCCTCGATCTGTCCTTGCCCCGCCACAAAGCCCATCATCGCCAGCGGCGGCAACCGCCGCATCGCCGCCAGCGTCACTTCCATCTCCGCTAGCGCCTCTATCGCCGCCGCCGGCATCGACTTCGCCGCATCTGCTACTGCTACTGCTACTGCTACTGCTACTGCTACTGCTACTGCTACTGCTACTGCTACTGCTACTGCTGGCAGCGGCGGCGGTGGCGGAACGGTCCCCGCCACGTCGGGCACCGACGTGCAGTAGACCCGAAAGCGCACCGAGCAGGCCGCCGCTGCCGCCGCCGCTGCCGCTGCCGCCGCCACCGCCGCCGCCGGTGCCCGACGCAGGCGGCAGCGGCCGCAGCTCCTTCTGCTCTTCCCCCGTTACCTCCATGGCCACCCGCAACAGCCTGCCGTACCCCGCCGCGCCCGTGTACTCGGCCGCCGCCGCCTCCTCATCTTCCTCAGCGATGACGCCGCCGTCGACGAGCCCCGCTGCCGTCAGCGCCGCTGGTCCACCGCCGCCGCCGCTGCTGTCGTACCTCTCCGTACTCCACGGTGTCCACGTGAGCGAATGATCCTTCAGACAGTTCAGCGCCAGCCGTTCCTCCTCGCGCCGCCCCACGAGTCCCACGCCGCGGCCCGGCTCCTGACGTAGCGTCAGCTGGGCTGCCACGTCCAAGTACGACAGGTACGGCAGCTGTGTACGAATAAGCAGGAACGGTTTGTTGCGGGCCGCCGGATGATTCCGCCGCCCGAGTCACGGGCGGGAAGCAACCGGGGCCCCCCGGGCCGGGGGCCGAGGGGGAAAGGAAGGGGACAGAAAGGGTTTCGGAGCGGCAGGGGTTATTAGGAAGGAGGACGGGTTGAGATGTCGGGGGGAAGGGGAAGTGTGTGTGTGTAGGGGAGGGGAAAACCAGCAGCACGGGTTTGTGCCGGGCTGCGACGGGCGACATTGGTCGTCACCCGTACCCGTACGGAGGATTCGAAAAACTTTTAAAAACTTCAATGATAAGAGAGATTCCATTATGATCCAATCTTCTGTCGGTTGTCTTGTTGCTCAGTTCAATTATCAGTTGAATACAGCCAAGCGCCGGACCTCCCCTTGTCGGCCACTTTCCAACACCAACATCAACATTAACAACTTCACAACAACTTCATGCAAAGATATAACATCGAATGGCGATTTAAAACAGTTCGGCATTCTCATCAGATTTAAGGAGTAGTACAAGAAAGGGGCTCAACCCCGGGTGGGGGTAGGGGTAGGGCGGGGCGGACCCCCCCACTCACCGAAGTGATGGCGGGCGGAAAGG